GTGTGATCCGGTGAAATCCATGTAGCTTTGTGAATGCGTTTGTGCGGGAATATTGCGCCACCGATGACCAGTTTGTTGAAGGCACATAGGTTTGCAAATCTCTCACCGTTTTCGTTTCTTTCTCCCAGTCCATGTCGTCCCATGATGTCTTCATATCCAGTGTTGTCCATTCCAACCTTGGCATTCAGGTCTCCAACAAGAATCGTCAAATCCTTTGGTGAACATTTATCGACGATTGACTGCAGCCTTTCGTAGAACTGATCTTTGTCGTCGTCATTGTAGTCGTTGGTAGGTGCATAACATTGGATGACGTTCATTATAATGTCCTCTTTCTTTGTTTTGAAGGATGCTTTAATGATCCTGGGTCCATGAGATTCCCATCCTATTAGTGCCTTTTGTGCATGTTTGGACAGCATCAATGCAACTCCTTGTGTATGTGAAGCATTTTCCTCTTCATGACCAGAGTATAACAGCAGTTCCCCTGAAGCTAGTCTCAGTTGTCCTACTTGTGTCCAATGTGTTTCACTGATTCCAAGCACCTCGAGGTTGTATCTTTTCATTTCTGCCGCAACTTGAAATAGTCTTCCAGTATCCCACAATGTACGAACGTTCCATGTACCTAAAAAAATGGTTGCTCTGGTTGTCAGAAGAGGCATCAGCCCCGTGACTTACGAGGGAACTCGGCTTTCATCACGCGACGTCATAATTCTTCCTCCAACTCCCAGGGCAGAGTTAAAATGGTTTGAATTATTTTTTCTGGTTAGCGTTTTTTTGGCAAGTTAGTTTTTGACGGAATGGGGTCGCCAACCCCATGTCCAACCCTCCTCCTTTACCCGGGCTTGGGACCGGCAGTAGCCCCGAAGGTTCTACTGGCGGAGTTACCTTTGGATAATAGATATGCAATATTAATGAGTACAATAGACGTCCAGTGGTTCCAGGTCTTTAAAGGTGGTGTAAAAATCATCGATTCAAAACTTCAATGTATAAGTCAGTCTGTTGAAAAATGAGTTCCTGAAACCCCTGCTGCTGTTATACTAAGATTGTGAACAAGATGCTCTTCAGTGTTTCTAGCTACATAGGATAGATGCTGCTCATGTTTTATCAGGTTTAGCATGATCTGTAGCAAGGAGGAGTATTAATCCTGGCCCACATTTATGATAATGTGTAGTCTACACTGACAAGCGAATGAGCGACTGAAGCGAATCGTTTGGAGCGATGTGGAGAATGGCTAGTGAGCCAACTCCCAGAGACAGAGCACGACTAAGAATATATAGTCAGACAAATATAAGACAGACATGTAGTCAACGAGATAGGAATGCACAAACATGAATAAAAGCAACGAATAGTTGATAAGGTCAAGAGACAAATGGGACACACCATGTGAGCTCATACAAACCAGACAATAATAAGGACGAATAGTACACATAAATTCTTGCAATATAAATAGCTTGGTTAAATAAATTAATCAAAAGGGCTTAACCGAATTAAATGTAAGCGAACTCGAATATATATGGAGGTGAGAAGACTGAGCCAGGCGCTGAAGATTCTATTAAGCAAATTTACACTCTTAGTCAATTAAAAACGAAAAAATTACATTGAACACTCTGTAAATGGATTTCTACGGTGGCCGTTCCAATGGGTTCCAATAAGTGCACTCCTGAACTCGTTTCTCCCAGTCCAAGGTCCCGATAAAGCAAAAATTCTAGGAGAAAGCGTCTTTATTAATAAAAACATGGAAATACAAAGCAGTACCTGGAATAAATACACCTTCCAGGTTACAATTACTCCGAAGAGTATCCGAAACAACAATAAATAAGTGACGTTAAGTCCTACGGCGACCGTATCAATCCAAATATGGCTGTAGCCATATTAAAGATTGAATTTAAACAACATATATACAGATCAGAAGCAAACACAAAAACTTCAATATAAGTACAAAATATAGAAATAATAACAATATACAATGATAAATCTCAAATTGGAATCAAATAAAATACCAAAAATGTCAACAGAAAAAGTCCGTCATGTCATAACAAGTATAGGTAAACATGGAGGGATTTTCCAGAAAACAAAACATTCAAAAAGGATTCTACACACTCTATTTGCACACCATCTTTGAGTCGTGACTTCCGACGCTCCATCCTTTTTCCATTCCTGCTGTTGCTTCCTTTACTTCCTGTTGGTACTCCATTTACTTCTTGTTTTTGCTCCATTTGCTTTCCGTTTTCCTCTTCTGATCGTGAGACTCCTTTCACGTCCCTTCTTATACTACTTATATAGTTCGTATAAGTAGCACACACCACAGAGGCACTAAAAGTGATAGGAATTTTATGAAATTCTGTTTTTCCTCTTTCATTGGTTTGAGTAAATACGACTATCGTATATTTGATTCGTGGATTGGCCCGACTGCTTACATTGATGATTTGAGCAGATGGTTGTTGTTACACCTGTAACGAAAGTGTCAAAGTTCTATGTTACTTACTAAGGAAGCAAATGATTGAAATATTGCCAAACTCATTTATCTTTGGTTAATAATATTGATGGAAAAGAATCCTCTACGGAAACACTAATCAATCAGTTTGTCAACTGATTTTGTTTTAGATTTCATCTCCATTGTCAACCATGTTACGTGTTTGTTAAGTTGTAACTATGCCTGATGGTAATGCCGAGGAACCATAATGAATAATTACTTGTAGGATGGACTGGGTATTCACTAGCAGAACATATATAATGCTTCCACGGTTGCTACGTATGTTCGATCGTTTAGAGTAATCCCATGGTTAATGACTTGGAGGTGTCAGTAAATCGAATAACAACATTGTGGTGATCTTACTAGCATTAATTTTTGCCTAAACAAGGAATCGTTCGAAGGTAAATCCCGCTGAAACATGGTAGCAAACTATTATAGCATGAAAAAAATATATATAAATTTCTGCATTTAAGATGAGTAGTATTCTTTATTTATTGTAAATATACGAAAGTCAAACGCTGAAAGATTTGCGGTCATTCTCCACTGTGCACCATAATTTTCTACAGACATTAAACCAATACGTATTCTTGTTATGTCAATTGGTTGAACCGACATTCCTACTAAAGTCAATTATTGGGTGCGACTGAAGCAAAGGTTTTAGTTGGGGGGTTAAAACGTCCGATAACATCCTATTAAGATTGAAACATAATAATCAATATTCGTATCTACGTCTTTATACAGAAACTGCACTGTTACTTACTAAACCATATGTTATGTTTAAAGTTACGAGTTTAAAACAAGGACATCCCACCTTACATTGTCAACGTAGTTAGCAACAAAAAGCCCATTACAACTACCGTGAATTCTTTTCTGTCTTACTACGGCGACGGTTAAAAACAGGTCCAACAGCTAAACGGTAGTCTTGGCAGCCCTTCTATATATGAAATCAAATAAATATCCATATAATTTGCAGCATATCAAACTCCGTCTACAGCACCTGTCTATTCCAACACTGGATATAGAGATATCATAGGACAACATGGACTGGGAAAAAGGAACGAAAACGATAAGAAATTTGCAAGCCTATGTGCCTTCAACAAACTGGTCTTTGGTGGCACAATATTCCCACACAAACGCATACAAAAAGCCACATGGATTTCACCGGACCACACTAGTCAGAACCAAATTGATCATATATGTATCAATAAAAAGTTCAGAAGGACCATGAAGCACGTGACAACCAAGAGAGGAGCTGAGACTAAAGAGGCACTGAACAACGAGGCAGACAGCATCACAAAAGTATAATACGGCCCTTCTTTAGGATACTGAAAAAGATCCAAGAATTCAGCATAGCCCTTAGCAATGGGTTACAGGACCTGAACGATCTACTCAATAGAGAGGAAACAACCATGAAGAACAATAGGAAAGAGATCAAGGAGGCGATCACTTCAACATGTCAAGAGCTTCTGAATCACAAGAAGCACCATCACAAGGAATGAATCTCTGTTGGTACTTTTGGAAAGGTTGAAGAAATGAGGAACAAAAAGGCAGCAGTCAACATCAGCCAAGCAAGAGCAGAGAAATTTAAGGCACAAGCTGAACACACAGAAGTAAACAGGCAAATGAAGAAGAGTATCAGAGCCTACAAAGGAAAATATGTGGAAGATCTAGCAGTGACGGCAGAGTAGGCTGCAAGAGCAGGAAACTCGAGACAATTATATGATACAACAAACTATCGTAAAGCAGAACGACCAGTGAAAAGCAAGGAAGGCAAAGTAATCGACAACACTTATTTTGACATCATTCAAATCGATCTATCAACGATAACTTCATACCTATCAGCTTCATCTGATTGAAAGAGTCAATGAGGTTGATTCTCTTCAAAGCCTTGAGAGATTGATTTTTTCAAAATATAGTGCCGTATCTACCGAAGTTGATCATGAGACTGGTAATGAATTGAAATGAAGTTTATAAGTAATAGAGTTTTTAGATTTCATAAATTTTCAGAGTGTTTATTACAAGAAGTACCACTGGTCCAAAGCCCCTTCGAAAGCTTCTGGGGTACATGCCAACTTTTGATTGCACCTGGCTTAGTGGATGTGAAAACAATAGTGAAGAGTGCTGCCATGACTGAAGCCGCTTCCAGTTAGAAATAGTGACCCATGCCTGGGATAGATTTATCTATGATGACATTCTACAGTTTCTGGTATACCAGGCAAAAGCTTAGAACCACTTCTGAGACTCTTTTCAGGTTGTAGTTCAAGCACTCATCTCTATGTGCTGTTAGCGACCACTGGACTATTTGGGAATACGGTTAACTGATCAACACTTTCAAGTAGAAACTGTACCTTTGAAGAAGCACAGATAAAAGGATAAGCCGAATACAACAAAACACCTTTCTTTATTACTGAAAATTTTGAATATAAGTTATGAATTATTGAGAACCTACTATTTGTTTTACTCGTTCAATTGGTGCTAAGACCCTCGTTGTTTCGCCAACCATTGGACACCGGTTTCATTCTCCACTGTCATGGTAAAGATATTTGTTGGAAACCTAAATCCTGAATCGAAACCTTCTGACCTCCGCAAGAAATTTGAGGCTTTTGGGAAGGTTACGGAATGTGATGTAGTGAACAATTACGGTTTTGTGGTAAGTTGTCGTGCTTTTTCAGTCAGCTCTTAAGCATATGGAAAAAGAGTCTGAAGCTGAAGCCGCAATTGAAGGTCTCCAAAATGCGATATTAGATGGAGTAAAAATTAATGTCGAACGCAGTCACGGAAAACGAGGTAACGGTCCCGGACCTGCAAGACGTCGAAATGAGGGGCGATATCGCGATTATCCACCTGAGAGGGGCCCGCGCGGGCCTCCGCGTTACATGAACTCTCTCCCACCCCCTCCGCGAATGGGACGCTATGGTCCGGCTTGGGATGACGGATATGGTGGGCCCTATGGGCCTCCGCCACGCAGCAGCTCCAGAGGTAATACTTGCGGTATTCATTCGTGATCACCTAGGTTACGATTACCCTGCAAATGGTGCAAACGGAAGGTATCCACCAATCGACCGTGGTGAACCTCACAGACCATTACCGCGTGGTCCGGCCCGTGAACCTCTACCCATGCCACCTAGTGCGGGGTATCGTGGACCTCCAGTACCCGAGCCCATCCCACCCCGAGATTATCCTACAAAGCCCCCACCGATGAGGCAAAGTTACGATGTGTATGGTGAATATGACCGCTATCGGGAGCCTATAACGCCATCTGGTCCTCCACGTAATAACGATTATTATGATACATACGGAAGTTACAGCAGTGGGAACTACGAGTATGCTTCTTTTACTAACAAATAACCACTTCAGGGATTACAGAGACGATAGAGCATTATCAAACTACGACTCGGCATACGACTATAGTTACTATGATTATGGGATGGACAGCAGATCGCCCGCCCCACCAAGATCAGGGTAGGTGCTTGGAAATACTTGATATCAATTGATTATCTAGGTACAGTTATGGTCGCCCTTAACCAAAGTAAGTGCTTTATAATTTGTCATTTGGAATGTATAACTCCAAGTGTTGGATATTTGTGCGTGCGTGATCGTCTACGTTGCCTAGTAAACGTTTCTCGTTTGCCCGCAGCCTAGATCTGTGCGTTGACTTTCCGTCTACTTTTTCGTTCCACATAACTCTTAAGTTTACCTAACATTTCAGAATCGTGCCGTGAAGTCAAACGCGAAGCAACCTCGAATCACGTAGGCAAGAGACGTTTGCATTTATTACTCGTTTCCTGTTCATCATTCGCATCATCGTTATTTGGTTAGCGTCAGCAGTCGTACTCACGATCTTCTGGCTTTTGCGTTTTGTAGACATTTCACTTCGTCGTTATGTGACATCCCGTTTTTATGCGTTATGAGAGACCGTCCAAATTTCCCATTTATCTTTTTTGAAATATAAATTGTGTTAGAAATCGTTGCTTTTGCGTTAGTTGCAGTGTATTTCCTCTGGTCTCAACTCTGCTACACGTCTCGTAATTGCTTCCTGAGTTACAACTTTTATTTTAGGCGGACACTGGTTGTCGGTCGCGTACGCCCGTTTGTCAACGCCCATAGCTGAACTTATCTTAGGATTCGTGCTTGTCATCTCCTGTATATTTGCTGCTTGTTATTTACCGTATGAGCTCCTAAAATGCTGTTCACTTCCCATAATTTTTTACAGCCTTAGCGCGTTAACGCCTGACAATTTCACTAACCTTTCTCTGGGTGTCTGTTTTTTAAGTACCATATACTACTCTATCCAGGCCGCTGTCAGTGCTGACTTGTAAAATCATGATTTCCGTGCGTGTATACGTTCAACGTGAAGATGAGGATTCAACGATCCCACAACGTCGGACAACAGCTATTTCGCTCTTGTGTTTAAAAAACCTCAACTTCATTTTGAAGATCATTACTAAGGGTTCTTTCATCTTTTAGTACAAATGTCATCAAACATCCCGTCGGACGTTCTTACAAGGAAACTTAGTCCTTGGGCTGTTAATATGGCTTGCCCGAATCCAAAGTCGGCAAGTGTCACAGTTGAAAGTCAATTTAACTCCCCTGAGCTCATTCGGACAATCTATTAAGTAATACAATATGAATTTGTGGGGAGTCATGTTGGTCATATGACCATTTAATTAACCGAACATGTGTCGTATACCTTCTTTTACGAAAATTGAAGCCATCTGAAACGAGTTACTAGCTCGGAACGTGTATTCAGGTCATTAGACACTCACTTTTGTTACAGATGTACCTTAATTTGGTTACCTGCGCGCACATGTCGGATTCAATGACTTGCTGCGGGTTGACACTGCAACTCCGGAACCTCTGTTGAGTTTGTGATGCGAACTTGATGAAACAGCTTGTGAATCTCCCTGCTTGGTATCTTGTGTTCATCTACCCGATTATATCTCCATTCATCTCTCACCGGCCTTCCCTAATAGTAAGACGTTTAAATTCAGTTTTAATGACAACCAATAGATAGGTTCTGGTTACTGCGGGCTGACATTCACATGTCCTGTTAAGGTAAATTCTTATGTCAGCTAATAGGTTTCGATTATACATTGTCCCACGTGCATTGTGTTGCTAGTTTAATTTTTCAAAAGTCGAAATGCTCGCGACAGAAGTGGTCAGTTAGCGACTCTGCTTTTAGCTTATGACGATCTAACATCCGGATATGTATGTAATAATGTATAGCCTGAGGAAAGTAAGTTTCTTCTCATGTTATCTAGAATCTCTTGATACATATAGATTTAAGATAGTCTGAAAGTGCCGAACGACAATAAGACCGACTCACTGTATACCGAACTTCACTTGCCTTGCGAAGCGTCCAGTAGTCTTGCAGTATTCCAAACTGGATTAGTTTCTGTCATCCTTCTACCACACATTCGTACTTAAAAGGACTTTAGTTTGTCGGAGACTTAGGATGTGTCTCGTGATCGATTGTTGATTATGCATATAACACGGTTTTTCTAAAATTAATGTTTGTTTAGTGTATTGAGTATTTATCCTGACTTCAAATATACGAATTTATATATTAATTCTTGTTCTCTAGACATCTTTACAAGGCGTACTATATCCGATAGTCTATCGCAACCTTATATATCTCGTAGTTCTAATTGTTAGCCGATGGTCTAGGATCAGTTATTCTTAATTATGATGATAATGGTCCGCTTACTGTGCAGTTGGCTCAGCAGTGGTTGATAAGTATAGTCTTTCTATTGGTATTTAAATCCTATCGATCAAGTCGTAATGTGGAAACTAGTGTATGGCGCTCGGTTGCACATAGTTTGTGAAAATTGAGTATCGCTTAATAAAATCTGTGTAAAAGCAATGCTCAGTGACTGTCGAATCGGAGATATCCGTCCGTCACACCCAACGTTGCATCAGTTGTGAATCTGTGTTAGTCTGAGTTGATACAGTGAAGTGCGGGAGGTTACCGAAAGCTGAGTACGGAAACAATTTTAGGGGTAGTATGTGGGACTGAGGAATAGGTTTGTGTTGATATTCAGAGTACAAGGGTCACTTAACATCCTTATCGCGATTTTTATACGAAATTTACCAGTGAATTCGTCCCTAATGATGCGCTCAAAACTGTCACTAGTTAAGTAGGCTGATGCTTTGTACCTCATTAGTCTTATAGTTATTACTTAGTACTTTGTTCTATAACTCAGCATCACCAAGCTGTCCCATTACAAGCAAGCAATGGTTCATATATGTATACGGTTAAGCCATAGCAACCTATGCAAACGTCTATCATAGAAATGTACTATAAACAGAATACAATGTAGCACCAAGCCAGGACGCACAACTAGATGGCTGTGGTATCGTTTGGGATTCTTAGTAATGACATGAAGAAAGAATTATCTCAGCGCCAAAGCTGTGCGTTTCGTTAAGTCCAAGTTTCCGTAGATCAACATGCTTTTCTGATTTGTCCTCTCCAGCTTTCTCTGATCCCAGTATAAAAGCCATCACACATCGATATATTTTACATGTGATGCGTAATGTGTGTCCTGACCATCTCAATCGATAGAGCCTCGGTATTTCGTCGATTTGTCATTATGCGCCTAACTTCTAAATATACAGGCAATGACTCAAAGGCAGCTATGGTCGGATACTAGTAACTATTATGCCTCAGTTGTCATTTCAGTCCACTCACTGCCATTCTGGGTATAGTGATAACTTTCAGTCCTTTCCCAGTTGTAGCATATCACTCAACCCAAGTATTACGCTTCTGGTGTCCACGTAACCTCCCATTTAGTTAGTGACATCGTCTAACGCTATCTTTGTCATTTTAGGAGGCGATGAGAATACTCTTATTGCGTAATCCATATTACTAGTAGGGTGTTTAGTCATCATTATTGTTCTGTTCTGTAGCATAAGTTAGTCTTTTTTTTTAGCTAAATTAGCGTCTTACCATTTTGCGGTAATTAGTTCACAAATTTTAATATTCGATATTTCGTCCTGATATCATTGCGATGTGTTCTCGCCGTAGATCACTTCCCTCACAATGTGCAGATACTTGTTCTTCTAAGATAAAATCGCTTGTTAGGGGACCTTTTTTAGTTGCTTCGGCTAAATTTATTAAAATAGTGAATGACCATCGGATTGATAGCTAAGAGGTCTCATATAGTCATAACCGGAATTGTCACCGCAGCAAGATGAAATTATCAAGGTGGAAACTGAAGTGGTACCAGTAATGCTAGAAATCAGAGAAAAATCAAAGTCAAAAGATAAGCAACTATTAAGTGCATCTGCGGTATTGTCATAAATCTTAAGCCACGTTATCCATCGTCTCTAACCAGTCAACTCGCGCACCACAACGAGGCAGACTACCCATCAAACTGCTATCAAGTAATAGTTGGTTTTTCACTAGAAGGCCATTTCGTCTTGGTATGGGATCCTAGCAATGTGCACTCACAACCAAACAACTGTGAATCAAACCCAGTATCTTCAGCCTTGCAGGCGAACTCCTAACCGCTAGCTTAATGAGCCGACATTCAATGGCATACAAATCTAACTTAAATCAGTTCATGATTCCGATGAAATTCACCAATTCCCCACAACTCCATACTAAGTGATTTGACCAACAATTATTAGGTGTTGGTCCTACTGTCTTTCGTTCCCTTTGAACCTGTTCTTACTCCAGGCAACAGTGCGCAACGAGGAAGACGCTGGATGAATCTATGTAACATTTCTCCCAAATGATGACTCACAACCTGTTTGCCTAGCACGCTACTCCTAACTCCATAGTCAAGTAGTCCGTGTACGTCCTTATTTTGGCTGACAATGGGATTGTCCTTGGGGATAATATCTTATCCTACGTACTTACTATTTGTTTCATAAAGAAATGCTTAACAAATATTTCTCTGGTGTGTGTCGAATAAAAGATAAGGTATGTTGTGACATCGTTTGATATGGAATTTCTTTGGTTCATACAATTGTTAGCTTGGAGGATAAACGTCTTTTGTTCTCGTGCTTCATTGATGCTTTTCATGGGTATCGACTCATCATGGTAAGAAGTTAACTGTGGAAACCCTCAATATATCATCCATCAAATAATTAGTGTTCACACCTAAGCCGTTCGGATTATATCGTAAATCACTTATGTCAGGTAGGCAGTAGGGAAGGTGGCTAGACGCTGGTAGATGTGGGGCTTCCAGCCAGTTATCTCCAACGATCCGTACATTTTCAGAAACAAAGACGAACACTCGGTCGTCAGTAGTTCATCTATTAGTTCATGATGTATGATAGATCAGGTCCCACACATGCTTAATTCGTAAACTTCAGGAAATTTTATCCACTGTAAACTGAGTTTCTTCCATTGTGTACATTATTTTCATGAGTTGTTTTTTTTTTCGAATAGTTTTAGTGATGGATGCATTTATTTGTGCTTGGATCCCCTTATCTGCCCAAAACACCCTAGTATTTGCAAATATACCAGTATTTGAAGAGTGGGCTATCAACATACGTAGACCTATTGTGTTAAAGTTATGTGTGCAGTCTTGTACGAAGCACTTATCAGTACAGACACTTTATACCGAATATGAAAACTGTTATTATTTATCACGAGTAAAGTGGATTTGCTTTTAATGGGTCTCGAAATAAAGAAAATACTTGTTTACAGAATAGACCTGACATAGTTCGTTGACTAGTCATCACAAAGACGATTTACCATGCTTACAGACTACTCATTAGTAGCGTCAACTAATCTTCAGAAGAATGTATACCTTCAGGGTGATTTTTTCGTCAAATGAACATTCTAAACATGTTCAACTATAGATTGGATTATTTAACTACTTGTAAATACATGACCTGCATTACTATCGACTTCCCAATGCGCTAAGCGTTAGTGTTTCTTTCTCCAGCGATAGGTGAGAATTTTGATGACCTTTCTCTTACATTGAAATTATGAATCAGTGATTGTTAAACCATCATTAGAAACCACCTGAAAGCACTGGGACTCACCAGTAGTGCGAATCTATGGCTCCCGCGGCAGGAACCGGACAGAGGACCTTTGGTCTGGCGCTCGAATGTTTAACCTCGAGACCACTGAGCTGGCATCCGCCGCTGTTAATGTCTAACTTTGATCAGTCCTCAAAGTAATGTTACGTAATTTTCACCAACAACCAAGAAAAGTGGAAAGAATTGTGTATATCAAATGACATACATCCCATTGAAATACAGACAGGAAAAAACAGTAAACAGATCCTCAGAATGAGTTGTGAGTCCCACTCCATCTTTCTATCGGCATTCACTGATGTACAAGCGTAACTCCACTCGGACCATAGTTTGGTGCGACCATCTCCTTTCGCCTTCGGTAGGTACTCCCTTCAAAATCGACACAGTTTCTCAATGTTATTCCAGGTATTTCGTCTCAAAGCTAGTTACTAGTGAGTGTAGAAATTGTCAGTATAAGGTTGCGGAGATTGTTGAGTTTCCCATACTAGCACTAAACAATCGTCCAAGTTTTTAACAGTGGTCTAATAATGATTGATTCATCATTTCAATGAAACTTATTGTTGAATAATAAACATAATCAGTGTGATTTTTATGTTTATTGGAATACTATCTGGAAGTCGCTTCTGATAAATCTCGTACTAGATAGATACACTTTAGAAGAAAGGCCAAAATTACTCAAGTGAGATATTATTCAACATAAATTTTAATCAAGAATGATATTCTTTTCGATGTCAATCAGTAGGGAATTAAGTGACCTGCCTAAAAATATGTAACGTATCGTTAATGTTATACTGATAATAATATATGCACCGGTGACATTCGATCATCCAGTCATCATTAAAAACAAACCTAGTCCTTATTTCAACGAGAGCATGAAGGATGTAACTATTTATAAACCCCCTTTGCGAAAGTGATTCTTAACTGGATTAAGTAGTTTTCTATGCGGTTTCGTTATCGTCACATCTCGGACGTTCAGTTTTAGCTTTGTACTTGAGTTTGGTCGTTTCTGTACTACTTACTGAGATGCTGAACGTTTGCAATCAGATTTATTTCCATCATTTATCGCAAATATTATTCTGACAGATTCGAAACTAAGTACATTCACTGAACACTTTTATTTGAAATTCTTATGGTTTCGATGTTGCAAACCCGCTGAACCATTTTTTTATACTTAATTTCATACTATTTTAACTTTAACGATCTGTAATTCACCAATAAATCAAGATAATTTACTACAGAATTAAATAGTTAATATTCCCTGCACGTATGACTAGTTCTCCAGCTACTCTTAGCCTTAATTTGTGTACATTGTACTGATTTGATTGTTCTAAGTGTTAGTTACCAATAAATCCCTGTTATGATTATAATGCATGAAACTTTTAACACCAGCATGAACATTGCACTGACTACATATCTTTTTATGGTTATCATACTATTTGTCTTAATGGATTCAGATTACTAATCCCACTTCGATTTCGGCAGCTATTCCACTTGTATTAATAGAATAAGAGCATTAGTAGTGCTTAAATTCTATTTAGGACGTTAGTGATTCAAACAATCAAGGTGATAATACACATATTCAGTGCTAGCCATTTGAGCAAGCTCAAAGTGACAGTAGGATTAGGATGACGATTTTCTCACGATTACCTAGTATCAACTGCTGTACGGACGAGTATAAATTCGCCTTGTAAACTCATCTCGATCACTTTCCGTTTCGAAAAATCTGTGTACCAAACTTTAACCATTAGTGAAGACGACAAGTGGTATTTACCTTCCATCCATTACTTACTTACTTACTTACGCCTGTTACCCCAAATGGAACATAAGCCGCCCACCAGTTTTCTCCAACCAACTCTGTCCTGGGCTTCCGTCTCCAGTTCTGTCCAATTTTTGTTCATTCATTTCATGTCTTTCTCTATTTCTCGGCGTAATGTGTTCCTTGGCCTTCTTCTTTTCCTTCTGCCCTGATGGTTCCAAGTGAGAGCTTGTCTTGTGACGAAGTTAGGTGCTTTTCGTAATTTGTGTCCTATCCGCTTCCAACACTTCTTCCTGATTTCCAACTCCGCTGGAATCTGGTTTGTTCTCTCCCACAGTAGGTTACTGCTAATCGCGTCTGGCCAACGAATACGAAGTATTTTGCGTAGACAACCGTTAATAAACACTTGTATCTTCTGGATTATCGCTTTGGTAGTTCTCCAAGTTTCCGCTCCATACTGTAGAACTGTCTTGACATTTGCACTGGAAATCCTGATTTTGGTTGAAAGTTGTTTGGAGTTTCAGATATTTTTCAATTATAGAAATGCAGTCCTTGCTTTGCCAATCCGCGCCCCCACATCTGCATCGGATCCACCTTGATTGTCGATGATGCTGCCAAGATATGTAAAGGTGTTAACGTCCTCCAAGGCATCTCCATCAAGAGTGAGTGATTTGGTTGGTGCATGTTGCTTTCCCCTTTATGTATGTTTAGACCTGGTGCTGCAGAGACTGCTGCTACACTGGTAGTCTTCTCTTGCATTTGTTAGATAGAAGAGCCAGGTAATCTGCGAAGCCCAGATCGTCCATCTGCATCCTAGCTGTAAATTGTATACCGTGTTTTCCTCCAGATGTCGACATCTTCATAATCCAGTCGATCACCAGAAGAAAGAGAAAGGTTGAGAGTAAGCAACCTTGTCTGACACCGGTCTTCACCTCAAACGAGTCTGTTAGCTGTCCTCTGTGCACGATTTTGCAGTTGAATCCATCATAAGAATTCCGTATGATATTAACTATCTTCTCAGGCACACCGTAGTGTCGTAGAAACCTCCACAGTGTTTCCCTGTCCACGTTATCGAATGCTTTCTCGTGGTCGATGAAGTTGATGTAGAGTGGTGAGTTCCATTCTATTGATTGTTCCACAATGATCCGTAATGTAGCAATTTGGTCAGTACACGGTCGATCCTTACGAAATCCAGCCGGTTGGTCTCGAATTCGGGCGTCTACGAAGTCCTTCATTCTATTTAACAATACCCTGTTGAAAACTTTGCCCGGTATTGAGAGGATGTGAAATGTTTTCGCGGTTTCCGCCACGTCTGCTTTCATTGCCTCTGCTGGAATGTTATCTGGTCCTGCTGATTCGCCGCTCTTCATTTGTTTGATGGCCATACTAATCTCTTCAATTGTAGGTGTCCCAACATCAATTGTATGGACCGTAGATGCTGCTTCGATGCTGGGTTGGTTCAGTGGAGCTGGTCGATTCAAGAGTTCCTTAAAGTGCTCTACCCACCTATTTCGCTGTTCTTCAGTGTTGCTGATTACTTTGCCTTCCTTGCTTTTCACTAGTCGTTCTGCTTTACGATAGTTTCCGGCCAGCTTATTTGTTGTTTCGTACAATTGCCTCAATTTTCCGTCTCTTGCAGCCTTCCCCGCCGTCATTGCTAGATCTTCCACATATTTTCGTTTGTCAGCTCTGATGCTCTTCTTCACTTCCCTGTTTGCTTCCGTGTATTCAGCTTGTGCCTTAACTTTCTCTGCTCTTGTTCGGCTGACATTCACTGCTGTCTTCTTGTTCCGCCTTTCCTCAATTTTCGCAAGAGTATCAATAGAGATCCATTCCTTGTGATGGTACTTCTTGTGACCAACAACTTCGTGACATGTTGAAGTGATTGCCTCCTTAATCCCTTTCCAATTGTTCTCCAATGTTGCGTCCTCTCCATTGTGTAGATCCTGAAAGGCCTGGAACCTATTAGTGAGGGCTATCCTGAATTCGTTGAGCTTTACAGTATCCCGAAGAAAGTCTGTATTAAACTTGTGTGATGTTTTTTGCCCCGTTGTCCAGTGCTTCTTTAGTTTCAGTTTCATTTTGGCGACCAGCAAGTCGTGATCTGAGGCTATACCAGCTCCTCTCTTGGTTCTCACATCCTCCATAGTCCTTCTGAACGTTTTGTTGATACAGATATGGTCGACTTGGTTTTGAGTAGTGTGGTCCGGTGAAATCCATGTTGCTTTGTGTATGGGTTTGTGCGGGAATATTGCGCCACCGATGACCAGTTTGTTGCAAATCTCTGACTATTTTCGTTCCTTTCTCCCAGTCCACGTCGTCCCATGATGTCTTCATATCCAGTGTTGTCTATTCCAACCTTGGCATTCAGGTCTCCAACAAGAATCGTCAAATCCTTTGGTGAACATTTATCGACGATTGACTGCAGCCTTTCGTAGAACTGATCTTTGTCGTCGTCATTGTAGTCGTTGGTAGGTGCATAACATTGGATGACGTTCATTGTAATTTCCTCTTTCTTTGTTTTGAAGGATGCCTTAATGATCCTGGGTCCATGAGATTCCCATCCTATCAGCGCCTTTTGTGCTTGTTTGGACAGCGTCAGTGCAACTCCTTGTGTATGTGAAGCATTTTCCTCTTCATGACCAGAGTATGACAGCAGTTCCCCTGAAGGTAGTCTCAGTTGTCCTACTTGTGTCCAGTGTTTTTCACTGATGTCGAGCACCTTGAGGTTGTATCTTTTCATTTCTGCCGCAACTTGAAATAGTCTTCTAGTCTCCCACAATGTACGAACGTCCCATGTACCTAAAAAAAGTGGTCGCTCTGGCTGTCAGAAGGGGCACCAGCCTCGTGACTTCCGAGGGAACTCGGCTTTCATCACGCGACGTCATAATTCTTCCTCCAACTCCCAGGGCAGAGGTAAGATGGATTGTTTTTTCTGGTTAGCGTTTTTTTGTTAGGTTAGTTTTAGTTGGGATGGGGGCGCCAACCCCATATACATACATACATATACAAAATACATATGGGCTAACTCCTTAATAAAAACATTTTAATCATCAGCGATGAATAAGTAAGAAGTCTCCCTTGGAAAACCAGTTGCAGTAATGCTGCCTTCTTACAATCAAGAAAAGGGTTATAAAGGGGCGACCTTAGAGGTCTCACACCTCACCTCACCTCGGGATTCCCGTCTCCAGTGGTAAGGCGTTTCTAAGAGCGGAGTCAACACATCAAAAACTCCTCATAAAAATGTCGTGCGCAACTGGCTTCCAGCAGTTGTTCATTGGGCTCAGTGGTCACACCTTCAGGTCACTCAAACCAACATTAGCTCAGTTCTCTCCTCAAGTCGCTCAAGAATAAATAGCCTTCCACTGTGAGAGCATCCGGGGAGTTACAACCGCCTCTACACTTCTAGCAGCACATAGGATCATCTTGCTCATGATCAAATCCGTCCTTCACCTTAATATAATTTCATCCCCACGGCTAACCCTTCCGGTATACCTTTATCACCCTCCGTAGCTAATGCTATTGATTCGCATTCACGAAATGCTATTCCTGGTCTCCCTTAACCCTTGTTCTAAACTACTTGTTCGAGCTCTGAAGTTTTGTGCCAGATAGGAAAACAGGCTTCCTCAGCTAGGACTTTATGATCTCGCACCATTGATATATGCGGTCTCCGAAGCGCGCATACAGAATCCAAGTACAGGCATTAATGTAACCTCACATTGTCAATATAAAGGACCTTTGCGATTAATCGTCTGTGTACCTAGGGACCGGGTGTAAATATAGCAGTAAGTCCAAAAGTAGAACCAGTTCTCATAGACTTGATTCCAATAGACAGTCGCTTGTGCACTGTTCAACTAAACGAGACAGTAAGAAGTCAGAAAAACGCATGACGTAGCCTCCTCATTGTCTGTACCTACCCTCCCACTAACTGTAGTTCAGATATAGTAAAAGATGAATTTTATGGGGAGATTTCCATCCTCCTTTAAAATACTGATGAGGGAGTGTAATGCCTAGATAGGTAGACTGAACTAAACTAAAAGGCACGTAGGCGAGCGAACAGATAATCACGACCGTCTGTCAGCTATGCTCATATTACTCCATATCTGGCAAGCACCAAATATAAGCATAAAAGAAATCGTCGTTTGATATGGTGTCCCCAACAATCGACTAAAATAGACCACATTGCCACCAGCCATCTGTGGATAGACTAGATATAAGACTGCCGCTCACTACGGAAGACATGTTTGCTTTGGTACCAGCATCGGTTGTTGATCTTAATCGATAGAATTGAAACCGCCGATAATATTTGAGTTCAGTCTCACCACTTAACACTAAATTTCGAAATGTTTATTACTTTGACCCTTTTTATTAAACTGCCAATCATGAAACTGTATCAATTATATGATCATAATTAACGCTTTGTTGTTAATTTATTTTGCTTTCCTTGCTACGGTTTGGTATGTGTATATTTATTGTTCTCTTTGTAATTGACTAATATTTCCTGGCTCTGTACTAAATGAATTAATTTACATTTTAGGAACAGGTTACAACTGTTGGCTATATACATAGTTACGTGCCTTGACTGTAGCCCTGCTAAAATTGTGAGACAGTATAAGGAAGAAATATATCTACAGACAAATCACATCCTACACAGATTCCTATGAGTCATACAAGACTTGAAAATCTCACGGCAACAAAACCCCATGAAATTCGGTATAATGATACAAAAAAAGTCAAGAATTTCATTTCACGAACAACAAGAAAAACAGTTAGGCAGCAATGTAAGTGGTGCCAACCCCAAGGTAGCTTGAAAAGATATCCAAAAAGCCGTAGAAACAGCAGTGTTATCTGCTAGTAAGGTAAACCATAAGGTTAGGGATAAACGGTAGATCTCAACAGCATCTACTTTATGATTGACATGCTTTTAGAAAGGACACTTTCATCATCTAACTGTTCAGGAATTGAACCTTTACCGTAAGACCCACTTGTTGACTTAGAATATGCAGACGACATAGTTCTATCAGGCCAATGCGCTTACAGAATGCAGTCTTCTGACTACCTTAAGCAACAACGCAACTATGTTCGGAATGCGATTCTCCCCCTCTAAATGCGAAATAGTGCTTCGGGATTGGCTTGCAATGACACCTGAACTGGTGATAGGGAGTGAAGTACTAGAGCGTGTTGACCGCTTCATTTATCTCAGGGGACAAAGAATGTTGGTTACAAATTTGTGATCCGATTAAATATAGGGAAGACATTGGTAAATTCAGGAAACAGTATTGTGATTAATGGAGAATATTGTTTCGTATTACTAAAAGAAACATCTGGAAGTGAAAATCCCAATGTCCTTGTGTGTAAATCCGAGAGGTTAAATTGATTTTTGACAAAATACCCTCTCACAGTACGAGCATCATTTGATGACTGAAATCTAACTGTAACTTAATATTAACCTTTTGACCGGTGTAAACTATGCATAGTTATCCCAATCTAATTTGATAGATATTGCTAACATGATCCAACACATCGTATGAAATTTAAAATGAGTGCAACTTTTACATTAGCGCTGTTCAATACGTTCGATAATATGCAAATCAACAAAGGCTCCGCTCTGAAATTTAAAACAAATATAACAATTTAATGTTTGTTCAAAATAAAACGTAAACCTACCACGTAAATGTGGAGGTGTAGTGTTTACTGAGCTTCAAAAATCATTAATTTTAAAATCCTTTGGCTACATATCTGTTCTTAATGTCACAGAATGTGGTTCATACAGTCATAAAAATGAGTTAACAATCTTTAGTTCTAACTTGCTTATTTACTTATGTCACCCATCGTGGACCATAGGCCGCCGACCAGCAATCTCCAACCCACTCTTTTCTGGAATCTATTTTCCATTTGTTACTAAGTGCTATACACTCTTTTGACGTCTGCATCCGATTCCCGGAGTCTGCATCTTTTCCTTCGGCTTCGGGGATTCCAAGTTGAGGTTTACCTCATGATACAGTTGGGTGACTTCCACAATGTTTGTTCTATCCACTTTCAGCGCTTTTTCTCAATGTCTTCATCTGGAAGCTGGTTTGTTTTATGCCAGGGTAGATTTTTGCTGATGAAGTCTGGCCAACGAATCCGAAATATCTTGCCCGGAAAGCTGTTGATAAATACCAATATCTTTAACATAATAGCTTTCGCAGTTCTTCAAGTTTTAGTGACGTATGTATTGGAAATCGTGGCATTTAAAAAATTAGCCGAATCAGGCAATCTACGATGGTTCAGATTCCCTCAACGGCCAGATGAAGGGATACAAAGAACATCACGAAGCAAACTAATATAACTAGAAAAACAACTTAATGTTGTCTGAATACAAGAAAAGACTAAATAATTGCAATCAAAATTTATTTTTATCAAGATCATTCATACCAAGTAATAGTTTCAAATCATAGGACAGATTCAATTAAAATGAATATAAAAAATTCTAAATCTCTGAGGCATATACTGATTACAAAATAATGATTTATCTGAAAATCACAATGGTTAATACATTTTCTAAAAGTACAATCTATACATACAAAATTTCGGTAGCTAGTGAGAAGCAGATAATTTTCGATAATTTTTCAAATTTAGCATGAAAATGATATAATGAGCAAAAAAAATAAATTGATGTTTTCAAACTTAGTAATTCAACATTTATTTGCGAATCAAATGCGAATTAATTTTATTACGTCGCTTACCTACATTTAAAGATTGAATTTCAATAATAAAACAAATCTAAACGAATACTTACTTCATTGGAAGTGAGGGCTTGTCTTGTGACGAAGTTTGGTACTTTCCGCAATGTGTGTCATATCCACTTCCAACGCTTCTTCCTGATTTCCAACTCCGATGAAATCTGGTTTGTTCTCTCTCACAGTAGGTTGTTGCTGATGGCGTCTGGCCAACGGATCTGAAGTATTTTGTGTAGACAACTGTTAATAAATAAACAAACGTTGAAGCAATTGCCTCCTTGATCCTTTTCCAACTGTTCTCCATGGTTGTTTCCTCTCTATTGAGTAGATCGTGCAAGGCCTGGAACGTATTGGTGAGGGTTATCCTGAATTCATTGATTGTGTCTGTATCCTGAAGAATGGCCGTATTATACTTTTGTGATGTTGTCTGCCTCGTTGTTCAGTGCCTCTTGAGTCTCAGTTTCATTTTGGCGATCAGCAAGTCGTGATCTGAGGCTATATCAGCTCCTCTCTTGGTTGTCACGTGCTTCATGGTCCTTCTGAACTTTTTATTGATACATATATGGTCGATTCAGTTCTGAGTAGAGTGATCTGGTGAAATCCATGTAGCCTTTTGTATGCGTTTGTGTGGGAATATTGCGCCACCGATGACCAGTTTGTTGAAGGCACATATGTTTGCAAATCTCTCACTATTTTCGTTCCTTTCTCCCAGTCCACGTCGCCTCATGATGTCTTCATATCCAATTTGTTCCATGCCCACTTTGGCTATCTAAACAAATAAGTAGATAATTAATAAAATGAATCCTGTTAGAACCGAGTTCTACATGATTTTAACTCAGTAACGTTATGTTCAGTGACTTAAATTACTATTTATGAAACAGTCAATTTTTAAGTTTTTCAAGAAATACGTTCCTAAATTTTGAAATACAACATCTAAGCAAAACATAAATTCACGTTATGTTATTGGGGATCGGTGAGTACGTCTAACGTCTAACAGGTAAACGGCAAACCCTAAACAAATGCAACACGCTATTGAATTTTTTGAAAGCCGAGAGATCACTTAGAAATAAGCATAAAAGCAGCCAAAAATGAAACAGTTTTAGGTTACGAGTACAAGTTACTTTAGATCAGTGTTTAAAAGAATAGTATTTAGAATCGAATTTTCTCTGTTGTACAAGTAGATTGAGGAACTCAACTACTGTCTATTCCCAACGTTAAGTACAAAATGTCTCACCAGAGCCCTTTCAGGCACTGTTAATGATGACACTAAAATTTATTCGTCACTGACAAAGGACGAGTATCGTAATTCGAATAATCCTGCACTCGGAATGTTGGGTTTGAAGGGGGAAGTTAACGTACATTTATGATCAAGCATCCCATGTAAGAACTTCGATATTTTGGAATCACAACTGATATGAAGATGTGAAGTCACAATTACAATACTTGATTACAACGATCTAACTAAAAGCTGTTCACGGTTGTAACAATCTAATTGGCATAGTAACATTGTTGATGCGGGTGTTTGAGTGAATAAGTATTAGTTATATAAACACATGTTCAATCTCAGTATATTGACTAATAACATGCTGATATTTTATACATTCGGTTCACCTGACATACTATCTGCGTTTGTACGGCCATTTGATGAAAACATTCACCCACTTCAGTTTGAATCCTTTACCTGAATAACTTTCAAAAAAAAATATGGAAATTTTTCGAACCTTACATCCCATGTGTGACATATCATATTCTGGCTAAATTGTTTGATTTTGGTGCGTATTTAACACATGATTTGAAAGTATTGTTTTGTCAGCGACCAATTCATCTCTATAGTACAGAAATCGCTGGATGCTTTGTTCACTTATTTCGGAACTTGCTTTTGTCTGAACACTGGGACTTGTGA